GTGCAATTATTTACCATTAGAATCTACATATTCGTGGTGTGCGATTATTTATCATTAGAATCTACATGTTTGTGGTGTGCAATTATTTATCATTAGAATCTACATGTTTGTGGTGTGCAATTATTTACCATTAGAATCTACATGTTTGTGGTGTGCAATTATTTACCATTAGAATCTACATATTCGTGGTGTGCGATTATTTATCATTAGATACTACATGTTCGTGGTATGCGATTATTTGCCATTAAAATCTACATGTTTGTGGTGTGCAATTATTTACCATTAAAATCTACATATTTTTGGTGTTCGATTATTTATCATTAGAATCTACATATTCATGGTATGCGATTATTTATCATTAGAATCTACTTATTCGTGGTATGCGATTATTTATCATTAGAATATACATATTTTTGGTGTTCGATTATTTACCATTAGAATCTACATGTTTGTGGTGTGCAATTATTTACCATTAGAATCTACATGTTTGTGGAGTGCGATGATTTATCATTAGAATCTACATATTCTTGGTGTGCAATTATTTAACATTAGAATCTACATATTCATGGTATATGATTAATTACAATTAGAATCTACATGTTCGTGGTATTTATGAAAACCGAACAAGATATTTTGAAAGATCTTGAGGGAATGTAAACTACTTGAATCTTCATGATCATATATTTTACAATAGAATACCATAACGAAACTTTACAATTTTACCTATTAAACAACAATGGTATCATGATATGAATTTAACAAATCATTTAAAGTAGTAGACACTATTTGTATAATTTGCCTCTTGTAAATTTTGTCATTATATTCATAGGTTGGTATTGTAGGAAGGACTGGTGCTGGTAAAAGTTCACTAATCAATTGTATATTTCGTATGGCTGAACCGAGTGGTACTATAAAGATAGATGGTGTGGATATCACAAGACTAGGATTACATGATTTAAGATCGAAAATATCTATTATAACCCAGGTTTCTTGATCAATGTAGATAATATTATCACAATCATTAGAATTATTACAATTATTGCTTCTTTCATATGTAAATTAAATGGAAGCAAATAGAGTATTCGGAACTTCTACTATATATGGTTGAGCAAACATCCCATTATAAAAATACATTGCAGGACTAGACTGGTTTCACATACCAGGTCTATGTTATATATATTTACATTTTCGTTTTAGGAGCCTGTATTGTTTAGAGGATCCCTGCGTTCAAACCTGGACCCATTTACTGAATATGCAGATTCTGAAATTTTGAAAGCCTTAGAACAGGTGAGAGTATTTTAATATGATCGATGATATATTTAGTTAAACCCACAATAGTATATTGAAATGGTGTTGACAGACGAATGTTTAAGAGAACAAAGTTACATTTCAAGTACATTTAACAATACATGTTATACAAGGACAAATGTTAATAATTCGAAACTGTAATATTATTGGAATGTTCTTTGAGAATATGTGATTAAAGATATGCCAGCATAGCAACTCACAAAATCTATACTAAAATGTTATTTCTTATCCCCTTTCACATGTTTTCGAGTTACTTACTGATATAATATTTTCAAGCATTTGCGTTTACACTCGATCATGCAGTGCCGACGAAGAAGCAGGTGTAAACTCCCAATCCAATGCAAGCTAAATATCAACTTTGTATTCATGATTATACCATTTCGTTTTAACTGCAATATTGTGACAATCATCAACTATTTACTGTACTCGTATATTTTCATAAAGCTATAATGGTATATTACGTTCAGCTTATATATTTATTTGCAATATAAATTCAATATTTGGGGAAAACAGTTGTTACAACAATCGATACAGCACCACGTCATCAATTATCAAAACCCTTTTGTACTTCAATATATATGTTTTTAATTCTCTCGTGTAGCCTCTTAATGATATTATGACATATTAAATATATATGTGCATACTCTCAATGTAAATGTTTGATATTAAATAATTGCATATTTTCAGTATTTTACTCTCAGCAATTATTTGTCATCAGCCGTGGGTAATTTGCATGTGAAAACTATTTTACGGATTCAGATATCCATTTGTAAGTCAATTGCGTAGAATACATGATCCACGTACTAAACGCATAAATATTTTGTCGGGGAATTATCCTTGTGGCAATGAATGAGTTTATGTGATAACGTTGAACTATAAGCGTCAAATGTGTTTTTATTTCAAAGGTACAACTACTTTATGAAGTGCAAAGGTTTGTAGGAGGGTTAGACACCGAACTTGCAGAATCGGGATCGAATTTGAGTGTCGGGCAAAGGCAATTAGTGAGCTTGGCAAGAACTCTACTTCGAAAAAATAAAATACTGATATTAGATGAAGCAACAGCAAATATCGACAAAAGGTGAGCATCAAAGATGCATGCAGGTTTTACTGGTGAATTTTTTTTTATAATCTTTCATTACATACCTGGGCAATGTCAGTACCTTTTTAAATTATTATTAGTACTACTGGGAGACAATCAGCTGAAATTCAGGTAAAAAGAAAAGTAAAAAGAAATTGGAGTAGAAACTTGCAAGACATTTAGGGGTATAAATTGCCATCCAGCGTGTTGCACACGGAAACCTTGCTTAGACTTCTAAATGGAAGAAGTGAAACCAACATCAGCAGGTTTTTATCCAGTTATTTCATTCATCCGCCAGAACTGCTCTTTTTTTGCAACCATAAAATCAATTGGTACATAAGCTCACGTGACTATTTTAACTATTGTGTTTAGGGTATAATTTCTTAATACCAATACGTGGACATGATTAAAATTTAAGCTCCAGTTTTATCACAGTACTTCCCCGGAATTGTCTACAAATAGCAAGCCAGCTAATTTGCATCATCTTATAATACTAAAAACGGCTTGTGTGCCATTCTCATGGTTCTAAACAGCCCTTGAAAATTGTAGGGTTATAGGCGTATATAATGAAATGTATTATTTTCATTAATTTTCAGAACTGATGCTATAATACAGGAGACAATCCGTAACAGATTTCAGCATTGCACTGTACTGACAATAGCGCATCGACTGAATACTGTCATGGACTCGGATAGAATATTAGTTATGAGTAACGGTAGAGTTGCAGAATTTGATGAACCACACTTACTGCTACAAAATCCCTTGGGGGAACTCTCACGGATGGTTGCACAGACAGGTAGAAGTGAAGCAAAGGATCTTCATGATATTGCGATGGCGGCATATAATAAACGACATCTTGAAGCTAAAATGTCAATGTTTGATGGTGATCAGCCATCCCCCAATATAATAGGAGCTATTACCAATGTTCCATTACTCGATACACTTGTGTAAGCTGATGATGCGTCAGTGAAGTTCAAACAAGAAGTCAATGAAATGTTACAGCTAAAGACAATTAATGTAATATATATATATAAAATAAACAATTACCACTCACTGCCAGGTCTCATGTTATGTGTGAAATCGAACATAGAAACAGTGCGAAAGTATTTTGGGAGTATTTCTGCACTCAATAATGTGTAGAATACTTTATTTGCACTTGGAATTAATTTTTGCTGAAGGCATGTGGCATTTTGATAGAGTATCGCATCGCCATGTGGCATTTTGATAGAGTATCACATCGCCATGTGGCATTTTGATAGAGTATCACATCGCCATGTGGCATTTTGATAGAGTATCGCATCGCCATGTGGCATTTTGATAGAGTATCGCATCGCCATGTGGCATTTTGATAGAGTATCGCATCGCCATGTGGCATTTTGATAGAGTATCGCATCGCCATGTGGCATTTTGATAGAGTATCGCATCGCCATGTGGCATTTTGATAGAGTATCGCATCGCCATGTGGCATTTTGATAGAGTATCGCATCGCCATGTGGCATTTTGATAGAGTATCGCATCGCCATGTGGCATTTTGATAGAGTATCGCATCGCCATGTGGCATTTTGATAGAGTATCGCATCGCCATGTGGCATTTTGATAGAGTATCGCATCGCCATGTGGCATTTTGATAGAGTATCGCATCGCCATGTGGCATTTTGATAGTGTATCGCATCGCCATGTGGCATTTTGATAGAGTATCGCATCGCCATGTGGCATTTTGATAGATTATCGCATCGCCATGTGGCATTTTGACACAGAGCTCATAGTCACATGTGAAGTAGTGCTTGTCAGTTATATGTTCATTTTAGAAAACAAATTATTAACTTAAGTAGCATCTACAATTTTAACTTTCAAGCAACTAGGTTCATTCTCCCCTAAGATTTAGTATCCCACTAAGGTTATATATAGTACATGCAACCATTTTAGCAGCAGTCTTCACCACGTTTTTGTGTTTTGCAGTTCTGTTTATGTAACAATAGAAAATCAAAGAAAGCTTAGAAAGAACTCCCGTGTGCTGAGGGAATAGGGATCATGATGTAATATTCGGGAATATTTGAAAATGATAAACAAATTATGAATAATCTATTAAATAAGGAGCCACCAGTAGTCATCTACACACATAGAGATCGTATACCTACAATAAGCCTACTTAAAAATATGCATAAAAAGTCTACACAAAATTGCAACATTAAAAAGAAAACTGAAATAATTCATAAAACATTGAGGAAAATGAAATGCAACGAAAATAGTAAACAAATAAATGCCCAAAAGAAACTTATAGGGCATTTAAAAATATTTTAGAAATTTAGTTAACACGGAAAACGTAAAGTAGCAAGAACAACTATGTAAATTTCTGACAAACAATCACAATCTAAATATCTAAAATTCAAACCACTATCTTAATATCAATATGTGTGTCAATAAATATTATATTTATTTATTTTCAGTTACGTATATTAAATAAGGAAGGCATCACAATCTTTTCGATTGGTTCGTATATCCCGAAAATCGA